ATGGCAGGCACTGTCCAGGAACTTCCCATAAAAAATCAGGGACTCCAAGTAGAGCTGTGCAGGCTGTGCACTGCACAATTCGAGACAACAAAATAAGAATGGCTCTCCTGAGGGTGCGAAGTAGAAGTCCTGCTCCAGATATCCACACAGCTCATTCTCTTATGTCCTTCAGGTTCTAGTTCAAAGGCCACTTTAAAAGTGAAGCCTTCTCCGACTCTACTACTGAATTTTTCAATTACCACTCCACCCTCTCTTATCCTTGAAGGTCCTCACTTTGCTTCCTTGCAGCTCTTACCACCACTCACAAACACACCTTTTTATTTATGTATTTTATTTATTGTTTGCCCTCCTCAATATAGAACAGAGCATCATAATGTTAGAGATCTTAGTCTGTTTTATTCTCTACTGCTTTGCCAGAGTCTAGAATTATGGCTGGTAGGTGCTCAATAAATTTAGCTGAATGACTCCTGAATGACTAAATCCTCAGTCATATTCTTAAAAGTATAGGAACCTGGCTTTCTCTAGCACTTGTGATTCTCTGACCACATTTCATAACTGCCCTGATCATATTCATAAAAATACTTTGTTGTATTAGAAGAAATGTATTTTCTTTTTTTAAAAAAGATCTTTATTCATTTTATTTGAGAGAGAGAGGGAGAGTGCACGTGAGCACAAGTTGGGGGAGGAGCAGAGGGAAAGGGAGAAGCAGACTCCCCGTTGAGCAGGGAGCCTGACGTGGGGCTTGATCCCAGGACTCCAGGATCATGACCTGAACCGAAGGTAGATGCTTAACTGACTGAGCCACCCAGGTGCCCCAGAAGAAATATTTTCTTTCTTTTTTTTTTTTTTAAAGATTTTATTTATTCATTTGAGACACAGAGGTACAGAGAGAGCGCAAGTGAGCATGAGCTGGGGGAGAGACAGAGGGAGAGGGAGAAGCAGGCTCCCTGCTGAACCAGTAGCCCGATGTGGAGCTCGATCCCAGGACCCTGGGATCATGACTCGAGCCGAAGGCAGACGCTCAACCATCTGAGCCACCCAGGCACCCCAGAAGAAATACATTTTCAAATTCTATGGATCATTATATAATTTATATGACCCATAGCCTTTTTTTTTTTTAAGATTTTATTTATTTTTAAGTAATCTCTATACCCAATGTGGGGTTGGAACTTACAAACCCAAGATCAAAAGTCACATGCTCTACCGACGAACCCTGCCAAGAGCCTCTATATGGCCCATGAATTCTATGGGCCCTGTAGCTACACAACTTATTACAGAAATTAAAAACAATATGCATAACCTGCATAAATGTACTTGGGCAAATTTACACAATCATAGAAGAAATATGTATACCTGGATATGCAATTAGTTAGCTTTTTTTTCCACTGAGCTCACACCTCCTGCTACAAATGCCACACATGTGATTTTTCTCTCAATTACATTTTACAGCTTATAAAAACACTTTCTTCATTTTGTCTCTTGAAAAACAAAGGATCTGTAGTAAGATTTTACTGGATGTTTTTATTGAAACAAATCCCAAGGGGAATATACTAAACTGTTAAACACAGCTGAAGAGATATCTGAGAATGGGCTTTCTGATAGTAGGATAGATTACAAAATTACTCACAGCTCTTAATCTGATAACAGGAGCAGAATGCCTCACACATTTGAATGAAGGCTTTTTCTGGTATGCTTTACTACAAAAAGAGAAAGAACAAAAAAGAGAACTGGAGAAACAGAAGGTGAGAAAAACTCTAGAGACTAGAAATGTTACAATCATCATTATCACTAACCTATGGATCCCAAACTATGCTTCAGCAGAAAATACTTCAAATAGTTAACCTTTATTGATGGCTGGGCAGAGGTGCTGTCCAGATAGCATGGAGGCTAGGCTCAAACACAGTTCCTTACCTATAGGCAGGAAAGGTTATAATATTGATATCAGCCTTGTCTATTTTGTAAGGTTGTTGTAGTATCAGAAAGAGGATATGCTCAGAAACAGCTTGAAAATTTTAACAGGTCTTTAAGTTCCAATCTTTAGATTTAAAAAAAAATTTCTATTATTTAAATGGGATGATTTCTAATGTTGTCCTTTTCATGTTATGTCCCCTTAATAATTATGGATCTTGGTTCTATTTTATATGTGTTATTTATCTGAATATCTAGATTGTAAACCCTTCAAGGGCAGAGATTTCATTTCTCCCTTTTTAAAAAATATTTCTCTAGTACCAAACACATATGATGCTCAACATACAGTTCTTAGCTATTTTTGGTGAGGCAAATGTGAGCCTGGCAGCAACTCAGTGCCAGTTAAGAAAAGAGAATCAAAGTGATCCTGAATTGACATTAGTATATTTATCATTCATTACTAAGAGGTTACTATTTCTTTTGCATTGGGCAAAGCCCATGATAAAACTGCCCTGAGGGCTCTATGTCAAAGACACCAGTTTCAACATACTGGTTGTTGTTGTCATCACCTTAAGACAAATTTTTAAAATGTTGAGATTACAGTGGGACATGTCAAAAAAAAAAAAAAAGAAAACGTATTTCTTCTGGGGCACCTGGGTGGCTCAGTCAGTTAAGCATCTACCTGGTAAAGGAGGTTAATTTCCTGGTACCTGAGTTTCTTCATATTTTCTTCCCTTAAAGCAGCACAGTTAGGAAATTTGGGATCCCATTAACAAGCACAGCAGCCCGAGGAAAATATTAGGGATGATGGGGAAAAGAAAGCATAGTTGGCTCTGGTGAGCCTAATGACAGTGAAGAAGAAACCATGAAATTAGAGTGGAAAAATGGGGGCACAGAAGGGTTTGGAAGCAACTCTGACCCAACAAAGGGGAAGGGATGAAGAGGAAGGGGCAGAAAGATGGGAAGTGCTCTGAATGCGTACGTGTATGGAGTCCTTTACTTTTCATGGGTGTGTCACCATAGGCACTGGTGTAGTTACCTAGAGAAAGTTGTGTGTCTTGAAAGGAATAGCCCTTTTGAGTTATCCACTTTATTCTGAGATGACCACATTTGAGAAAACGTTTATTTGAGGCTATTATATAGATTTGTAAAAGGAAAATTAGACTGTTATTTTGAATTATTATTTTTTTAACCAACAACTAAGAAAATTGACTTGAAATGTATTTCTTAGTTTAACTCACCTTAAGACAAATTTTTAAAATGTTGAGATTACAGTGGGACATATGCTTGTACGGTCTTAAGGAATTTATAAGGTAAGTGTATTTCTCCTGCTTAGAAAAGTGTCATTTTCTTTTTATTGTAGTTTTAAAAGTCACGAAAATATTATCAGCTTTCATATTGACCTGCTGTGGTTAATCTTGTATATCTTTATCATTCAGATAAACCTCATCCATTAATTCTGAAGGCATGGAGTGCACATCTAATGTTAACCCTTACTGTGATGTATTAAGAACAAAGCAATCTTTGAAAACGTAGTACTCAGCAGATCATCTTCTATATGCTATAAAGTCCATCATGTTAAAATCAAAATATATTTAGGTTAATAATTATAGGCTTATGCACAGTCAAGTTTGAAACCTGAACAGATTCTCTAAAACAACAGCATATTTTATAGGCACTCACACACATTTTTGGTACTACAAAAATTTCTTAGGGGTAATGTGTTACTGGTATTATTCAGCTGTTCAAAAAGAATGAACATTGACTACATCACAGACTTGCAGTGTATGATTGGAACCACAGCACCTCACTTCTGTTCTATTATGGAAGTTTACATGTGAAAACAAAGCCCAATAAGCTTAGAAATAGAAAGGAAAGCTATGTACATGTAAATAATCTAAGCACCACTTAACAGTTTACATAAAAACACAATTTATGTCCCAGTAGCACAGAGAAACATGATGTACAACATTTTCAGATCATCTTCCTGCAGAAAAAATGCATTAGTCAGCTATAATAGTTTAGCTATAAAGGAAAATGTTTTTCTGGTTCAATTTGCATGGCAATGTCCATGTGTCTGGCTGATGAAAACGACAGAAAAAACCACCCAACTCTACAAAATGTGAACAGTGTTCTTAAAATTCAGGAGAGGGTCCATATAGTCTATATTCTCTCTAATGTCAGTTTTTACAACCTCTCATATTCATTGACCATCTTAACTTGGCGATTATAGTATCCTGATTATTTTGCCTAAGAGAGCTGACAATATTTCATTCTGCCCCAGAGCTCCTCTGAACGTAAAACTGTGATAAGGTAAAATATACTGGGCAACTATTCATGCATGAGCCACTGGAAATCTCTCCAAAGGCCAAATTAGTAAATGGCTCTTTTAAAACATAAAAGATACGAAATGGCAAACCATACTTTAGAGTAAATCCTGTATTGGCAATAGTCGGTGAAAATACTTTCATTGGTGCTTAAATTATTGGGTCAATACTAGTACTAGCTAGACTGCCCGACCTCTGGTTATAATCTAGTTCACCTAATAAGATAGATGTCCTCCACGCAGCCCCAGCAAAGAGATAAGGTAAGATTGAAAATGATGGATCACAAGCCCTGTGTATTTGCCAGAAATGTAGAATTCAGACCTTCACAAAAACACCTGCCCCTTGGAAAGATCCTCACGTATGATAGATAAAGCAGGGCTGGGAACAAGGAAACCCACTCGGCTCGAATCTTGCCTGCCGCATCAGCCTGGGACAGGGTGACCAAATCCCTTTTCTAAGGGCTGAGTCAGATCACAGTCTTGAAACTTGCCCGGCCATAACAGTCATACATCACCCCTTACTCCAACGCCCCTCTCTCTCCTGAGTCATACAGGTGGCCGTCAGAAACAAACCCCTACAACGAAAAGCCCCACTGTAGTTTACACCTCTCCCCGGCCACATCCCTTCAGTTTCTGAAGCCCTTAACTCGCCCACCCTCCCTGGTCTTGCCCTCTGGAACAGCTCTCAGGTCTCTCAGGGGAACAAAGAGCAGAACGCTGGGGCCGAAGGGTGGGGTGCGGGGTCCGAAGCGAGCTGTAGCTTTACCTTGCGGTGTCCGAGAACCGCGGAGAAGTCAGTCGCGCAGAGACCACCCGCGTGCTCCGCGCCTCGCCGCCGCAAGTCAGCTGTCGCCCCGCATCTGGCTTGCGCCCTCCGCTGGGTTCAGCATCTGGTCACAAAGCGCTAGGGGAGCTCCGGGCGGCGAAAGCCTCCGGGTCACCTGCGGCGGGGCCGAGCCGAGTGCCGGGTCCGTCAGCCGGCCGCGCTCCCTCCGCCCCTTCTCACCCGCGCGCTACCCGGCGGGTGACTCAGCCGGGCATCGGCGCGCGCGTCCAGGCGGGAAGCACGGCCCGGCGACCCGACCGAGGCGCTCGCCCGCCTGCCCGCCCCAGCACGTGTCCGTCTGTCTCGCGCGGGGTCGTCAGCCTCGCCCGCCGGTCCTAGGACCGCTGAGGTGGGGACTGGCACCACCCAAAGGGGGAAATCGGCCCCCGCCCTTCCTGCCGCCCGCGCGCCGCGCCAGTCCCCGCGGGGGTCGCGTTTCCTCCCGCCCCTCCCTGCCCCTCCCCTGCCCCGGCCAAGGTGAAACTTTCTAGGTGGAGAAGTTTTCTCGTCCTGTCTGCGCGCTCTCAACTCCCCCAGCCCGGGCAGTTTGAAGTGAGCACAGCTGGGGATAAGCGAGTCCGAGTCTCCCCCTCCTGGCGCTCGCGTGGCGAGCGTCAGGAGACGCTCAGAACGCCAGGGGCGCCCATTCCGCGCCCACTCCGCGCCCACTCCGCGCCCACTCCGCGCACCCCCGCGCGCTGCCGGCGGGAAAAGCGCGACGTCCAGTTCCCAGTCTCTCCCACGGCTCCGTTAGCCCTGGGCACCGAGCGGGCTAGAGAGTTGGACACCACAGAGACAAGGAATTCATTGTCAGAGACGGAGGTAGGAGTGGATGGAGAATTGTCCCAATGATTTCATTATGCAACGATTATCCCCTACTATAAGATTTCTGGAAGGAAGAACAACACAGGAGGTTAGCCCTGAGGAAACTTCAGCTTCTTTCACCTTTTTTTTTTTTTTTTTGATAGCAGGAAACAGGCTGATTAAATAACTAGGCAAACAGCAATGAACAAGAAAAACAGAACAAAAGTTTAATTCTTGAATGTTGAAATCCTATGATTAAAAATAAAAGGTTGTGGGAGCCTAGTGAATTGTATTGGGGTTGTGTTAGGATAACTTTTTTATACTTCGCATGTCTATCAAAATTGACATTAACTTTCGAGAGAAAATAAACCCTCAAAGGTAACAGAATCTAAGGAACAGCATTGCCTGTTAGGTCTTAGCATTCTCCTTTCTGACTTGCATAAGGGCTTGTCAGACAATGGTATCTGTTATTGAGTCATGGGACAAAACAACATTTACTGTGCAGGTTCAGGAATTATTTACTACAGAATGAAAAATAGAAAAGTATAATAAGAATAGTTGTCCTTTTCCTGAGAGCTTACTATGTGTCAGGCACTTTCTCAGGGACTACACAGAGCAATTTCAATCCTCAAAAGTGATTACCTCATGATTCCCCAATTTTATGGGAAAGGAACTTTCCTATTACATAATACTAGAGCTCTGCATTGAACTATTTTGCAGATGAGGAACCTGAGTGCCTAAGAGTTCCTAAGAGCATCACACAGCTGGTTGGTAAAAGAGGTGAGGTTAGAACCCAGCCCTCAAATCCCAGTCAGGTGTTCTTCATACCATGCCAAAAGGCCGAAGCCTAGCAAGGCTAAATAAACAACGCAGCCCTACTGAAAGTTTCCTGATATCACATGGCATAATTTAACAATGGCTATGGTTATTGGTTATCTAACCATATTGGTTACATGGTTATTAAATGCTGATTTATAGGTTGAACCGCACTGGTCCTATTTATGGACAGATCAGTTATAGATTTGGGGTTCAGTACCAACTTCCAATTAAAGGTGAATAAACTAATGAATTCACACACACACTCACATTCACACATACAATTAACCATAGTTGTCCAGAGGAATGACTAGAGTGCTGTTTCTGTTTCCTGGTTTCCATAGCAATATGTTAACTGGATATTTAGATTGCATTATATAGTTGCCTTAACAGGTTTTCTGAGTTTGTGTGCCATGATAAAAACATAAAAGAAAAAAACTTACAATTAAAGTAGTAGAAAGACCCAGTAAGCCAGTACAACTGGAAAGTAGATTATAAATCCAAATAATGTATTATGTATTTTCAGCACTGAAGTTTCTAGTTTCTAGTTTCTGACAAATTTCAATCCAATTTTGAAACTGTATTAAAAATTGTCATTTTGATTTATTAACCATGAGTAAAGAGATAACATTTTATAAAAATAACGTAACTAGGAATAGCATAATAAAAGTGTCTGAGTGTGTGAATATCAAATAATGAGTTTTTACATACTATAAAGATAGGTTTGATCAGGGAAAGGGTGAGACATCATTTCACATATTTGGAAATGGATAGAGGCAGACACTTTAAAAAGGCAATAGGAGTTCTACAGTTTAGTTTTGGTTTTGTGGCCAACTTTAATTGTTACTGTTTAACTTTCCTTGGGTCATGGCATGGTTGACACACTGTATGATGAAGTTCTTTTGGTATTTTCCTAACCAAACCAAACTTCTGTGGCCCACACTGTTGGCTGGCTAAGCCAGCACCTGTTGTCAACCAAATATTCCTTTGCCTGCCTCCACTCTTGGGGCTAGAGAAGAGAAATACTTGCTTTCCCAGACTCCTTTGCAGCCAAACATGGCCCTGTGATGTCATTCTGGCAACAAAGTTAAGCTAAAGTCTGTTGGGGACTTCTGGGAAAGAGTTTAGTTTCCTGATTAAAGAGATCTAAGCTGGTACCACACCTTCCTACTTCCTGCTTTCTTGATTTCATATATAATGCCCAGCAGAGAGCTAGCCATCTTGTGACCATGAGGAGAGAAGTTGGATCTGACGTTGCTGAGCTACAGCACCAACGCCAGTAGACCTCTGCTTCCAGATGTCTTATTTTGTGGAAAAATACTTGTTCCAGACACTGTTAGCCAGGATTTCTGTTACCTGCAGCCCAAAGCATCCAAAACTGATATACCCCTCAAATGGGGAGCAAGACATCTCCAAGACTGAGTTTAGAATAGTGGTTAAGAGTGTGCTTTTAGGGGGTGCCTGGCTGGCTCAGTTGATAGAGCATGTGACTCTTGATCTTGGAGTCATGAGTTCGAGTGGAGCCTACTTAAATAATAGGAAAGAAAGAAAAAAAAGTGTGGATTTTAGAACCAGACAGCTGTGATTTCAATCCTGGGTCTGCTGCTTGCTAGCTGTGTAACTATGGGCTGGTGGCTTAAACTGTGCCTTATCTGCAAAATGAGGATAATAATAGGGTTACTGTGAGGATGAAATGAGGAGCTATAAGTAAAGTACATGGAACAGTGTCTGGTGAAATATAAGTGCTCAAAAGGCATGAGCTATTTTTACCACATATTTGTGGATAACACAGTACTAAGCTGTAAGCAGAACCCCATCCCTTAACCCTGAGATAGGCCTAATGGTAACCATGGTCAAGACAGAGGAAGGGGGTGGTGTCCTGCTCTAAATATGTCACATCCTTTCTGCTCTCCCTTTAAAATGTTAAAATTTGGATCTTAAAAGGTACTTTTTAAGTTTATTCATTGGTATTATATTTGAAACAAAAATGAAAGCGATCTTCGTAGAACAGGGGCTTCACGCTGGCAAACAGTGGAGGGCAGGAATCACAAACATACAAAAGGCCCAGAGAATATTTTGTAATAATTTGAATTGTGGTACACAGAACATACGTTCTGCAGTTTGCCATCATCTTACCATCTTCTCTTGTAATGCATCCAGCCTACCTCTGATCTTGATGTCACTTTCTCCTGTAGGCATTAGGATTTGTGACTCCTGTTTTAGAGTATTAATTCTTGGATTCACTCTCTCTGCTCTCCCTCCTTCCCCAGCCCCATTGCCCCTATTATTGTACCTATGGAAAATGTCTCCACAAAAGGACAAAAAATTCAGGTGACAGTTCTTCAACTCATTTTTGTGGGCAAATACAATTTGGGGATGTAGGACTCCTCTTACCTTTTTAGAGATACCTCTAAATATTCATTACAATAGAATGTATAATAGAATTTTGAATATTCTGAAAACTCACATGGAAAACCACAACAGAACAAAACAAAAATAAAAACATGATTTTTTCTTCTTAACATCTTCAGTAACAATCTTCTGTAAAATTACTAATAGGGAACACACTTTGGGAAACCTTGCCTTAAAGAAAGGAAAGCCAGATATGAAGAGTTAGAACAGGGCACTTTCAATATTAACTGCTTTTGTGTTAATTTGGTCATTTGTTTGTGGCTGGGCTCTCTAAATATAAAACATGCAATGTTATCTAAGAATATGACTAAGCATATTCAATATTGAGGACAAGTACATGACTGCTAGGCTCTTGAAGCTATAAGTAGCATGATTTTACTCAGAAGCCTATGAAACTGGACGCAGAAAAACTAAAAAAAATTGCCATCTCCAACAGGGTGCTGCAGTTTCATTAGTGATTTGGCTCATTTTCACATCCAGCTTATTGCCCCTCTCTCCTAAAATCAGGCAAAGGCATAATGTATTTAGCTCTCCTTTGTTAAATATCTACCATGTATCATCATCAGTCATCTGTTTGAGTTCTACTTATGTTCTCATAACAAAACTCCAGGATAGGAATCATCCTTCTCAGATTACATCCAGGGAAATGAGGCTCAGAGAGATCAAGTAACTTATCCAGGGTCATACCACGACCTAAGTCTATCTCTTTGCAGAACTCTTGCACTTCCCATTGCAACTATTATAAATTGTTCCTGGTCCTCTGGTGAATGATGTAGTCATTTAACATGGAACAGCAAAACTTAAAGCTTCTTCTTATTTTCCTTTCTTCTCTGTATGCAAAATCAGCTGCAACTTAAGGCATAGCCACCCCTCTGTTTGCTTGACCCTTAAGGACTGAATATTGCCATGCAGAAGAAAGGTGCTGGTACCACCTCTGGTGTCCATCTATAAAGTGCTGCACAGGCTGGGTGAGGCAAGGATCCCAAGCAGTCAGGGTGGCCTAGGGTCTGGGCTGTAGGTACAGGACTGAGACCTCCTGAGTGTGAAAAGGAACTGTAATGCTCTTTCCCCAATGTCTCTGCTTTCACAACTCTTCAGCCTTCCTTTGGGGACATCAGGAAGAGAGAAAG